GGGCGCTGCTGGTGCGCGGAGTCACAAAACGCGCGGTAGGGCAGGGTACCACGTACAAGCCTTGTCGTAGTAAGCCCATAAAAATCAGAAAACTCCGTTTGTTAAATCACATAAAGAGCTTTGTCACTTGGGAGCCCTTCCTAAGAAAATCACACGCAGCTGTTGGAAACCCTGGGGGAAAGAGGCGTTGTTTTTAGAGCGCGACACTGGCTCTGCAGCCCACTTCATGCACTTGCAGAGAATCCCAGGCTGGTCAGGGTTAGAAGGGACGGAGCGTCTGGTCCAACCCCTGCAGAGCAGGGTCACCCAGGGCAGATCCCACAGAAACACTCCAGGTGGGTTTGAAAGTCTTCAGAGGAAACCCCACAACCGCCCTGGGCAGCCTGTGCCAGGGCTCCAGCACCTGCACAGGGAAGAAGTATGTTTTCATGCTGCTTCTGAATAATAAAAGCATGATCTGTGATTCTGTTGTCTGTGCAACAGAGAGAACGCAGAACAGTCCCCACTACACTAACTTGAAGGAACTGTCACTATAAACAGTTTGACAAACTGACAGTTTTTATTTTGAAACAAGGTTATTACAGAGAATTGTTTGAAAAGGCATTAGAAGACCCTGCAAGAGAACAAGTCTCAGGTGTGCTACTTATCTATTCCAGCTGTGTTTTTCATATCATAGAGGTAAGTTACATAAATTCCCAGTGGGACTAACTACAAATGTGTAATCACCTCTTACTCTGTACATAGGCTTAAGAACCTGAATGATGCTGTGGAGGGTTCAGGAGCTTACCTCCAGGATTGACTCCAGATTACTGCCCCAGCACGATATTCTGACAGAATTAGACAATATGTTCTGTCAGATGTAATAGCAACAACATGCTCTGCCCTCAGCACCTGTGACTGAAAGGGAAAGCCCATGTAGGGCAGCTGATGAATTATTTTTATACTTACAACTTAGTTTGCAATAAACAACTCTGTAAAAACCCCTACCTTTTCTTCTGCAGGCTTGCAGTAGCACAATCCATCGCATCATCCAAGATTTAGCTTCCCTCCAAAGGCAAGGTCGTAGGTAAGCAGTTCATATTGCCTCAGCTGAAACAAAATTTTAACACAAGTGGTAGGAATGTTTCCCTAAGGTTAAACTGAATGCTGGCTACAATTATATTAAGCTTTTATTTCCCCTTGAATACCTGTTGACCACAGAGGAGCTGATGTTTTCCAGTTCTCATGACCCATCTTTTCTGGAGGCAGTCAGCATCATTTTTTTTGGCTGTGATTCCTGTCAAAGCAAGCTACCATCACACTCCTGCATTGCTTATTAAATTCCTACTGCTCCTTTGCCTGTTTCTTACCCTCACATCAGACCAGTCCATTTGAGACCCGTAGAGTACAACTAGAAAAGGTTTTGCTGTGGGGCGGGTTTCGGTGCTGTGTCTACAATCCTCTAG